AAATATTATTATTATTATATGGTTTCCAACATGGCAAAAATCGGAACCAACGAGCCGGTATTGACGGTGCCGCCCCGCTGTCAATGTCATGGATAGGACAGTTCAGTATTTTGGAACTATATCAGTTATCGCCTCAAATACCTCAAGCACTGAGTTAAACTCTAGACCAGTTTTTATTTAGTTATTAAATGTGTGGTGTAGTTCAACAAACATCTTTGTCCTCAGCTGAATCCCCACGTCAACGACTTCCAAAGGCGCTACGTCAGCGAGGTCAGACGATGCAGCGAGATGGAGAGGAAGCTCCGGTGGGTCAGCGGGGAGTTGCCAGAACCACCTCCTCCGCCCAAGCCTGGCCCTCGGTCCCTCAGTCCGAGGGAGATCAACATACTTGAGGTAGGCATAAAGAACCTTATTGGTAGAGGAACTTAGGTAAATAGTGAAGTTATGAAGCTCAAAAGTGCAAAACTATTATGCAGATTGCATCCAGAAAGCAGTTCGATTTCTGGAAGGAATATATCCCAAATAAATACCTACATTATCATAAGAGAGAGACTTAGTATGTCTTATTTGCTTCTGCTCTATTAGTGTCTCTTCCTAGATATGATATGGAGTTGTTACAGCTAACAGATAAGTTTCTGGAACAGTTTCTTGTAATTTGACTTAGTAGGTATTTTTAAAGAAATATTTATTACACAGAAGAAGAGAAGGTACCTACTCGAATATACACAGTTTCACATTATGTGATACATTTTTCATTCTAAATGCTGTACTAATAGGTTCAATTGTTATTTACTTTCAGGAAAGAATAGATTACATTGAATCAGAAATCCAAGAGATCACCAGAAACGCACAAAACCTGAAGACGGATTACTTATCTCTGATCGAGCTGAAGATCCTCATCGAAAAGACGCAGACCTTCTTCCAAGACCACTCAGCCCAGAAGAAGATTTCCACGTCTGTTGCGATATACAACAACGAAGCGTTGGGACACCTAGGGTTTATAGCTGGTGTGGTGGCGACACCCAGGGTGCCGTCCTTTGAGAGGATGCTATGGAGGATATCCCACGGGAACATATTCTTCAAGCAGTCCCAAATTGATCAGCCGTTAAAGGATCCTGTTACGGTGAGCCCTAGTTGTATTATCTATGCTCGTAAATGAACCGAAATGACTTTACAGATTCCACGACGATACGACGATATGAATCGTGCGCATCACACTAACGTACTCGTAATGTTTTATTTTGTCAATATATCATTTCTATTCTATTCTAACCTTTGTCCCCGAACGAACACTCAACCATCAAAAGAGTAACCTTGATGACACCAAAACCTTATCTTTTCAAATAATGAAAAAGGATCTTCACGTGCCTTTGATTGCAACCTTCACACCTATAAAATAAACCATTTTTTGTCTGTGATAAACCATAAATATCTATGTAAATAGTTCGTTATCTAACGATCTACGCGAGCAAAGCCGCTAGCAGAAGATAGTCTTGCATAATTACCCAATAAATTCCTTTCTAGTCAATTGCCCTAGCTAGTTCAATTAGTTACGATCGTTTTCTAGGAATCTTGGCGGTCAACAAAGGTTTTTAACTGATGTGTTTTGCAACCGACCTTTAGTTATTTCGTTTTTTTTTTAAGAAATTGTCAGTTGATTCCCTATTATCAAACTGTTGAAAAGGTCTTTTTTTATGCATAACAAGGCAGTTATTTTACCATAATCGCACCTTATGTTAAGTGGGATGGTACATATCTGCCCTGTAAGTGCCTATTCACTGTCACCTATATTGGAGGGGTTGAAATAGAGATTTTTCTAGGTTCCTACGTAAGTATTATGCCTAATTTCATTTGTATGAATTACATAAAGTGTTGCCAGTATTTTACTTGCACCTTCCATGAAATTTTAATATATCAACCCCAGCTATTACGTCGACCTTTGGCTGTGTTGACGAACTTGTAGAGGCCATTGCCCAAATATGCGGCAAATGTCATCGCCACGAATATAGAAGCCACGCTCGACACGCCACTCCCTGATGTATTTGACTGGTATATTTAACTATTCCTGAAAGAAATGGAAGGTGCAGATAACCATTCTTTTTTGTTGAAAGTTAAAAATTCCACACCAAAACAATAAGTAATTAACATAACATTATTTACTATCATTATGTCACAAGGAATTCAAATTCAATCAAATCAGACTTCCAAAATACAACAACAGACTGATTCCACATAGGTAACGAAATCTCTGCCCTGACCAAGAATCGTACCTGGCACTCAATAATGTCTATGAAATTCAACTCGCCACTGCTCCATCGCAGCATCGACCTGTCACAAATAACAGCCCCTCTAGACAAAACGCACTTTTTGATCGATTCGAAAATCGAATCCGTCAAAACTCCATACAAAAAAGGGACTTTTCGACCACTTTTCGACTGGTTTGCGATTATAATTTGCACTCTGTCTAGACCCACAGAACTGGTCATTAGCTCGTTGTTAAGCCTAAATGCTACACACATAGGGTATTATTAACTGCACTGCTAGAGCTCTTTATTGTTAATTGCCTCCTCTTGATTCCATCCAGAGTCGTGTTGTTATCTTTTGTCATCACAACTTCAATTGGATACATTGAACCTCTATAAAGATGCCTGTTACTATATAAAGTACCTATCGCTTTTTGTCAGTTATGTATAAACTGGCACTCAGGCCCTTATTACGAAACAACACTTTAAATTCAATCATTAGATTTGGTTAAATGCATCAAGCAAGATGCGCTGGAAATGCATCAAAATAGGAAGCGCTGGACGCAGGCCGCTACCAATCGATCAACTTGGAAAGCAATGGGGGAGGCCTATGTTCAGCAGTGGACGTCCTATGGCTGAAATGATGATGATGATGACATCAAGATGATTCAACTGTTCCTGTAGATTTTGATTACACTTAAAATACTAAAGCCGGGTCTCCAGCGCGTGTCTTGTATATAATCAACAAAAACATCTCAACATTCAACAAAATTGTCTACAAAAAATGTTGAATGTTGACATGGTTTACTTGATTGTGTAGGACAAAAGGGGGTGTGTTCGGGAAAGCCTTCGAGTTGCAATAGTACCTTAAATTGACCACCGTACTCTCTTTATTAAGGAACACTTCCGCTCTGATACATCGTTTGATAACGACGTTTGATATGTCTACAATACCACATTCAAACATAAAACAATTAGTAATAGTGCTTCCATTCATTCTATTCCATTCAATAATTCAATGGAACGTCGAATCGAATGCCGACATAATCTGGTGTCAAGGGTTTGATTCTAAAAACATTAACTGGTTTAGTCATCATGCCAGAATCATCCAAAATCATGATTACGCACAACAATCGTTCAAACGCATGCCAAAACGAAACAGTAGATAGTTTATTGTGCTCGAAAATAGTTCATGTTCATCATTAATATAGATGTGCGTCAAATTGTTTTATGTGGTACATAAACGCGGCCGTAAACCTTTGTCTCCGCGATATGACTATCAGTTATCACCGGCCATCATCACGGCCTAATAACTGTAGATAAATAACTAAAACTAGCAAGCAAACTAGTCCAAAGCTAGTAATAATATTAAAAGCTAAAATCTAACCACTCATATTGTAAACTATGGACCCGCCCCGGCTCCGCACGACTGCATTGAATTTATATGTACCTACTGATACACCTTCTTCTTGAATCACTCTATCTATTGCTGAATACCTCATTAAAATCCGTTTAAAAATTTAAGCAAACAGACAGCGAGAGTGACTGTTTTAAAATTCATGTAAAGATTGAGACATATTGGTATAAAAAAAGCTAAACAGCATTCTAAAGCTGGTAGAAACTACACGTATTTAAAAAAAACAATGAACGATTTCCAGTAAATTCTAGTCCTATTTTATGTAGTTTATAACGTTCAAAATGTAATGCGTATACGCACCTACACGTGTTCTTATCTAATTTAAAAATAGGTCAACAGTATTCTGCAATTTGTAAGGTGCGATCAGCTGATTTATAAGTGTTTTGCTGAAAGCAAATCCATTAGTGTAAAGAAAAACAAAGTCTTGTACGACCGACTTCTCTATTATATTATACCAATGGAAGGTTTCCTTGTGCCAGAAACAAACTGTTGAAAGACACAAACCTAATTCTTAGGTGGCATGCCATAGAATAGCTTTTAACCTTGTGAAATACAACAAGGTAACATCGTTTTAACTCTTCGCGACTCTGCCTTTAAAGAACATATTTCAGCTGTAAAAGTCATTGAAGTTCTTCAATCGGTAGATGCAAAGAAATCATAGAAAACTATTGTAAAAAAAATAATACAAACTTTAGTATAAATTACGATATAATAAAAAAATATTTGGGCAAAGCCCGCCCGACCTTCACCTTACCTAGATAAAATCATCAAGTCTAATGTTTAGGTAGAGAATTTGTACAATTTATTTATAGATCTTAAAACGTTCGCAGTGTACTTAAGTATAGCTTACTAAAATGTCATCAAGACTCTACCAATTCCGAACTAAAATCATTCTTTTCATTCTAAAAGTTGTATTCCAGCAGTAATTGCCGTATCAAACGAGTATTTCTATGTCAGATCCGTGATTACCACACTGATGGTATCTATGGTAAGATCAAACGTGGTATTAAAACGAAATCAGTAGCAAGGGGTGAGAACGCCACAAACCCTGTATTATATGGTGGCGGGAAAGGACATGTGGTAGGCGGTCGTTGCCCTAAGTTTTTTATTGATTTTTCTATTCGTTAACTACTTGGAGCTTTTGTAAGCTCGTACAGTTAGGCTGGAACGCTTCTTTGTATCAAATCTGGTACTTAATGTTTGATTTAAAAATATTATATTTGTGGGAAATATAATAAGTTGTTTTAATGATGCTACGACTAGTCATTTGCTGGTATTAGTGTCGGTCTTGTTGGTTGTCCTAAATACAAACTATAATAATATAAATAACTATAATCATGGGAAAGGCTTTTCTTAACTTTTCTTAACTTTAAAATTGTCGACTGACTGAGGATGACAATAAAGCTAAAGAGTAGTGATATTGTGAGTGATATTAGGACAAGCATTCTTTACGGTTAGGGTAAATAAAAGAATAACAGTCACTGATAAGAACTTGAGACGATAAGTGTAACTTATCCATCTGGACCATTATTTCCAGGGTCACGAGCTCCAAAAGACAGTTTTCGTGGTGTTCTTCCACGGGGAGCAGATCAAGCTCCGCGTGAAGAAGGTTTGCCACGGGTTCCAGGCCACGCTGTACCCCTGCCCTGCCACCTTCAAGGAACAGCAGGAGATGCTAGCTGGCGTCGACACCAGGATTAAGGACTTGAAGATGGTATGATCGACAAAAATCGGCCTACCTACGTTTTACAGGAAAACTCGTTTCTACTGACACAATCATGGTGCCCCAACAATATTGGTGTTATTTGAAAGCCCAATAAATATCCTTAAAGGAAAACACATTTAATTTCCTAATAAACGATTAACATATACAATAAATGTGACTTGAAAAACTTGAAAAAAAACCTCACTTTGGGCTCACCTCTGGGATCAATTAGACCAATTTTTATGGTTATAAAACCAAATAATGATCTCACGTGTCCTCTTTAACAGATGGATAGCGATTAATCCCAACTTAACAGTTTTATAGCCATAAAAGTTGGCTCAAGCGTAACTACCTATTTTTGAAGAAGTGACTCTGGATTGTTCTACAGACACATTTTTGGTAAAAACCTTTCCTTTAATGAAATGAAGTTCAGAACTAGGCTTTTAAATGGTAATATAGTATAGTAATATTGGTGGGAAGTGGGGATGCAAACGTTTGAAAGTGCTTGTCGCGGGTGGGTCGATTTTTATGATGACCAGTGTATCGTTCGTTTCAGCCAAATGACGTCCACTGCTGGATAAAGGCCTCCTCCAAGGATTTCTACAACGACCGGTCCTGCGCCGCCCGCATCCAGGCACCTCTCGCAACCTTCACCAGATCGTCGGTTCACCTAGTGGGGGCCACACTACGTCGTCTGGCCCGTGGTCGCCACATATCTGCCCCATCGGCCATCAGCTTTATACAGTACTAGCTTTCCGCCCGCGGCTTCGCGCGCGTGGACTACATTATCTACATATTTCTGTACCCCCAGTGAAAAGGGATCTAACTCGACTTAGATCAAAATTGACTTTATAACATAATGTGAATCTCTGAAAAATTAGCTATTTTTGTATCTAATCGGTATGTTTCTACGACGTATAGAAAAGAAAATAATTTTGTGCCAAATGATACAAGTAAGGCTTTGTGAACCAATTTTGAGTTTTCTTTCGTGTATATTGATACATGTCTACTTTTAACAAAGTGTACCGGAGGCTTCTTTCAATTTTTTATTGTGTCAAGAGGTACGACTCGTTATAGCATTCCATCAGTGCAAGAGACTCATTGGTAGTAGATGAGGTCTCAACCCAAAGATAGCACTGGCTCTACACGTCGGTTATATAGCCCTCTTACACAATATATTATTATAGATCACTTGTGTGGTGGCACAGAACACAACTATCAACAGCAAGATCAAAACTCCAAAGCCTGCAACGCCTAGTAAGTATGAGAACCACTCCATCGACATCACTTGAGTACCTTCTGAATCTCAGATCTTTAGACCTCATCATTCAGGAGGAAGCGCAAGCAGCCGCTCTAAGACTTAAAGGTAAGAACGGCATATAGAAGCAAAACAAGGAGACAGGACATTCCACGATCCTGCACAAAACCCTTATAAAAGAAATACCTCTCACCGAGGCACCTATCGGCAGAATTCCCTGTGTTCACTCTTCGTCTGAAGATATAATATCCAGCTTACAGCGGAAACGCAAGATTGCTCTGGAATCAATGAAGTTAGGATATTACACTGACGGCTCCAAAACCCAAAAAGGTACGGGAGCTGGTGTCTTCTCGAATTACCTAAATATACTAAGAATATCAACAACACTAGATAAACACAATACAATTTTCCAAGCAGATTGCAATCAGAGCAGCACAGGCGGTTGCAACCATAGACATCCGAGGTCTGAATATAAAAATAATCTCAGATAGTGCAAGCAATACAAAGCAACTTAATATACTACATTATAATACTTATATTGGAATGCCATGACGCGCTCCTAAGTCATTGCAGATGCAAATGGCGTTACCCTGCACTCCTGAAGTGGATCAAAGGACACAGTAACTCCTTGGGCAACGACGCAGCAGATGAACTGGCCAGAAGGGGATCGTACACGACGGTATTTGGTCCGGAACAATTATAATGCCGATACCATAAGCACAGATCAAGACCTGGCTGCGCTCCAAAATAGAAAAATAACACCACACAGAATGGAAAGATTGTGAAAGATGTAGGCAAACAAAAGATGCAGTTGTGGATATTATATCGAAAAAGTTAAAGACTCATAAGACTTAACAGGGACAACATCCGCAAGGTCCTAAGTGTAATAACAGGTATGTTAAACAAACACCTACACAGTATAGCTGTACAGACAGCCTGATGTGCAGAAGATGCATGGAGGCAGAAGAAAAACCACAGCACGTGCACAAGGAGTGCAGAAGCGTAGCAGATCAACAGGCTCAAATTCTCCAATCACCAGGGTCGCTGCAGAAGGCCTGTAGAGACCTAGATAGGCTGCTGCTACCTGGGGGGATCTGGAGCGGTTGGAATAGGAAGATCAAATAGCGCACAATGGTCTAATCAAAAGGTTAAGTGCAATATTCGATTGCCCTGCAAAACTAACTACGTAAGTCCTTATGAATGGATACTATGTATAAAGTAAATAATTATGTAAATGGCATGTGTTGCTGGACTTTATCTGCTTAGCTCGCAAGTATAACATGTCTTGTTAATCATGTCTCTATTGATTTAAGAAGATTCCCGTCTTAGGCAGTTCGATTTTTTCAAGTTATTTATGACTAGCGGCAGCCCGCGACTTCGTACGCGTGGATCTCGTTTTACTCCATTAGGGGTAGAGTTTCGTAAAATCCGCTCTTAGCATCTATAGCGCATACATTTTAAATTTCAACTCTCTTACTTTAAACACATAGGACTTTCATAATATAAACTTCCAACCCTCCTTTTATCTCCTTAGCCCCCGTAGTTGATTTCTAATGATACATTTTCAGTATATGTACCACCTCCACNAATAGCGACGAAGCAGGATTTTTTTTAACTTCAAATGCGATTTCCCAAAAATCACCATTTTCGACTTAACTCCGTTTTCACTGGGGGTACAGATTTTACGGAACCCTATTTTTTTCCAAAATAAAATTTAGCCTATGTTACTCGTGGATAATGTAGCTTTCGAATGGTGAAAGAATTTTAAAAAATTACAACCAAACAAACAAACAAAGTTTTCCTCTTTATAATATTAGTGTAGATGATGTACGAACCCTTCATGAAAGCTTGTTATGAGTGGGTTCACCTCAATAATCCAGCGAAGCGGAGTAATTCTATAGATAAATGTTCAAGTTTTAAAATTCGTGGTCCTAAAGATATAAAATTGATCAAAATTCCGTCGTTTCTTAGCCTTATGAATAACTTTTATCCATCTATCGACTATTGCCAACTTTTCCATTCATTATCTTAGTACCTACTTAGGCATATTTATGTACGTACATAGCCACAATAACAACTTAAAATGTTATCCGAGTGCAAACTCAATGTTACTAGAAATTTGTAAATACGAGTATCTTGTAAACAGTTATAAAAACTATGTAGGTATATCATTCACTCGGTAACTGATGACCTCATTTACTTCAACTGCTTATGATACCTTGACTTCCCACAGACTGCCGACTTTTAGTCGGCCGATAATTTAGTCGAACTGTTAATCAGTATGAACACTTTTGAAAGTGCGCACATTACACCGAACTAGTATCAACTTTTTTTTTATTCACAATGAGGAAGCTCTTGGCCTGTATCTCACCTGATGGTAAGTGATGATCAGGCCGAAGGTGGAAGCGAGCTTCACCCGGAATCCTCAACCACGGAGGAACTGGCTATCTTACCTCTAACTGCCGGAATACAACTATGCCGTTAACATTGTTGTTATGGCGACAGACTTAGGTGAGATGGTGGTAGCTAGCCAGGCGGACTTAGAACAAGTCCTACCACCAACCAAACCGAACAGAAAAATCTGCCCTGAACCCGGGACCTCTGCGTCTGAAGCAGGTGGTCTTACCACTAGACCACAGAGGCGTTTGACCTTCACTGACTGATTTAAATTAGAAGTAGACCATACTATCGGCCGATAAAAAGTCTTTAGTCTACGGGGACTCATATCCATTATCTGTTTCAAGGTTCTAGAACAAACGGAGCACCACCGGCGACTGGTCCTGGCTAACATAGCAAGAGACATCAGCACCTGGATGGTGGTAGTGAGGAAGGAGAAAGCCATCTACCACACTATGAACATGTTCAGCATGGATATTGTGAAGAAGTGTCTCATTGCTGAGTGCTGGGTGCCGAAACGGGACATGCCTTTGATGCAGAAGGCGTTGGACGATGGCGTGGTAAGAATTCTTATTTGAAACCTCTACAGTTTTAAACAATAAAGAGTTTACTTATTCAAGTACCTACTTTAAACTCTCTACTAAGATACTACTGTAATCTAATTAATACCAGTGATTAAATACCTTTACCACAGACAATTTATTACCAGCCTTTACCAAGTTTTTACTTAATTTGAAGTAGTAGGTTAATGCAGAATGAATACATAGAATAAAATGAGTGTTAATTTAGATTTATTTTTAATGTAATTAACATTGCAGAAAGCAAGTGGCAGTCCAATCCCGTCCATACTGCACCACGTCCCCACCAGAGAAATACCACCGACGTTCAACAGGACCAACAAATTCACTAGGGGCTTCCAGAACCTTATTGATTCCTATGGAATCGCCAGCTATAGAGAAGTTAATCCAGGTAAAGTATATTCCGTCATCCGACGAACCTTGTTTAGTTTTCTCTCAAGTTCCAGTAGTTACGGGACTATTTCCACCTCTCGTTACCGCCGCTGCAACTCCTGTGTAGCCAGGATCTACAGCTTGACCGCCAATAAAAACCCAACCAGTGAAGGTCAAGTTTGTCTTTTGACCCGCAACGACGTTAATCACAAGAAGGAATTCGAACTTTTGACACTAGTTTCACTCTATCTTTCTCCAAAGCTTTTCAACCATTAGAGTCGATTCAATTTATTTATATTATCTAGTTTTAACTTATATAATCCTACATTTTCTTATCTATTTCAGCTTTGTACACAATTATAACATTCCCATTCTTATTCGCCGTAATGTTCGGGGACGTGGGCCACGGGCTCATCATGACAATATTCGCCGCCCTCCTCGTGATATACGAAAAGAGATTCGCGAAAATGAAAACAGACAATGAAATATGGAACATATTCTTCGGTGGTCGGTACATTATACTTCTGATGGGTATATTCTCAATATACACTGGCTTGATATACAACGATTTTTTCTCGAAGTCGCTCAATATTTTCGGTAGCAGTTGGAAGAATGTGTACGACGGTAAGACATTAGAGAACCATAAAAGCCTTGGTTTGGACCCAGCGGAGTCTTACACGCAGTCTCCGTATCCTTTTGGATTGGATCCTGCATGGCAGGTGAGACAATCTTGCCCTATGTGTAAAAAATAACTATTCATAAAGCGGCTTTTCCATCTTTTTAACTAAACTAATATCACACCGCTAGACATCCCTAGCTCATTCCTCTTTGGCGGTGGAAAACGGACTTTATAGTTCTCAATCTCAATGTAATGTGGATGACGTCATTGCATTAAAGAAATATTTTCTTTGCAGTTTGCAGAAAACAACATTATATTCCTCAACTCCTACAAGATGAAGCTATCAATAATATTCGGAGTGATACACATGGCGTTCGGGGTGACATTGAGTGTGGTAAACTTCAAGTAATTAAGAGTATTCATAGAAATAGACTTAGTCGTGACCTTTTTTATTGTTTCATCGGTGATTTGGAAGATTAACCTTTTGGTTTTGTATTACAGCTTCTTCAGGAAGACAGAAATGATATGGCTGCAGTACATCCCACAGATACTGTTCTTGTTGCTGCTGTTTTGGTATTTGTGTATATTGATGTTCATGAAATGGACCATGTACTCTGCGGTGGCGACAGGTGATTATTGCAATCTCTTTGTCTTCTCAATTAACAAGAAAAAAATCAACCCCGTGATTATTGTTGTTTATACCACGGATATCATAAACAAAAACAACAAAACACACACGTTAATTTCTAGACAGTAATTTGACCATTTTATTATGCCAATATCTACCAACTACTAACTGCATAGTTATAAAAAGACTGCGCATATTAAAAATAGAGCTGCAATTAGTATTTGCATACCACAACGTTAGAAGCCCCAGTGGATGGAATTAAAAAGGAGTGCAGTCACGCAGGTTCTCTAGAGACCTTTGGGCTAAGTTGTGTGATTGTTGCAGTCACGAATGATTATAAACAACTAAAATATTATCCAGAACTTACTGAGTAGTGTCTTATTAAGCATCTTTTGCTATGAATGGATAATTAGATGGAGATTTATTTGCAAGAACTTCAGTCAAAAGGTTATTTTCCTGCGAGTTAGGTAAATGTTAGCGAGGCCTTCATTTAAATTTTGCATACATAGGTACCTACCTACTTATCACATGTAGGTGGGTACTTAGTATGCAAATGTTGCAATAAATGAGAAGAGTGCATTCAATTAAAATATTTTATTTCTCCACTTATAGGTATTCGTACATTCTAGAAACACCTATCATCATTAAACACATCTCGTTAAACGTTACCAGACCATACTTGACAGTGCTAAAAAAACAGTTTTCGCTATAGAAGTCGTGTATATAGAAGTCGTGAAAACAAACTCATGAAACCTCTTTGTGTCCAGACCCGGCTTACGGCACCTCCTGCGCCCCGTCTGTGCTGATAATCTTCATCAACATGATGCTACTAAAGGAGTCTGAGTCAAAGGCACCCTGCCACGCGTACATGTATGATGGCCAGGATGGTCTCCAGAAGACTTTCTTGGTATTCGCCCTATTGTGCGTCCCGGTCATGCTGTTTGGGAAGCCAGTGTTTAACATACTGGCGGCTAAGAAACAAAGAGTGAGTATGATGAGGAGATTTTGCGTCCATCAGTTGGCGCTACTAAGGTCACTTTGTAGTGGCGCAAACAGATGGACGCTTTACAATGATGCTTCAGCGGTCACCAGTTGGCACCAGTGGGTAACCCACTAAGAAGTGACAGGGCCTTACTCTACAGTGATGTTAACTGGTGAATCCAAGTCCACCAGTTGACGCCACTATTATATTAAGGTCACTATCTATGTAGTGGCGCCAACAGATGGACGCTTTACATTGGTGCTAATCCTGGTGGATGCAAATGCAATAATCCTGCTACAGCTTCAGCAGTCACCAGTTGGCACCACCGGCCCACTAAGAAGTGACAGGACATTACGTACAGAAATGTCAACTGGTGAATGGAAGTCCATCAGTTGACGCCACTATTATATTAAGGTCACTAGCTATGCAGTAGTGGCGCCAACAGATGGACGCTTTACAATGGTGCTAATCCTGGTGGATGCAAATGCAATAATCCTGCTACGTAACAGGACCTTACTCTACAGTGGTATCAACTGGTGAACGCAAATACGGTAGCCGTAGCCGTAACTGATTGATTCGTTATTGTATAATTAGTGGTTCATGTAAAAAAAAAAATGAGTTTTTGTAAATTTTTGCTGTTCTGAATCTCAGTAGGTAATTACTTCTTTTTGCGTCTAAGTTTTTGATGTACGTTAACGATTCAATATCAGAATCGTCTTTATTTCACTAGCTGGAATTTTTCGTTTTTTTATACAGGGTGACTGGAACTGAACCCGCTATAGCTAATACGCGTATAGAGGAGGTCATTTGCTAATTATTGAACCTTACTTTCTATAGTTTAGGAGATATGTCAATTTTTAAACTTTTTTCAGATTTTTCCGAAATTTTACCTAAAAACTGCTTAAATTTTTTTCTCGCATGATTTTAACAGATTTTTTTATTTGATACTAATATCGAATAAATTTTTAGTTAAATAAAATAAATTTCAGATCCAGATAATGATTGAATAACTAGCCACAAGCCGCCAAAGTTCAACAAAAGTACAAACCACGATAAAAAATTAATTCGAATTCGATTTAAAAAAAAAGCTAATGGTGATAATGGATTGCCAATGATCTTCGGAAAAATCTAAAAAAGTATAAAAATTGACATATCTCCTAAACTATAAAAGTTTAGTCATAGAAGTAGGGTTCAATAATTAGCAAATGACCTCCTCTATAGGTACGCGTATTAGCTATGGCGGGTTCAGTTCCAGTCACCCTGTATAACCTATGACACTCGGCAATAATGTGGCTTTCTATTGGTGAAAGAATTTTTAAAATCGGTTCAGTAGATCCCGAGATTACCCCTTACAATTTAACAAATATACAAACTTCATAATATTAGTATAGGTTACAACTCAAAAGTGTATGAGGTGTATCATATTTTTCTCAGAACTATCGGCAAGGGGTCGAAAGCGGTGACGTCACGCCTGAAGAGGAGCCGCAAGAGGCAGTGGGAGAGATGATGATCACGCAAGCCATCCACACCATCGAGTACGTGCTGGGGACAGTATCGCACACCGCCTCCTATCTGCGGCTGTGGGCTCTATCGCTGGCGCATGCTCGTGAGTTTACTATACTCAACATCAAATAAATCGCACCTTCCGCGACGCGAACTTTAAAGATTTTCTTCTGACACAATCATGGTGCTCTAACAATATTGGTGTTATTTGAAAGCCCAATAAATATCCTTAAATTTAATTTCCTAATAAATGATTAACATATACCTACCATAAATGTGACTTGAAAAATGACCTCACTTTGGGCTCACCTGTGGGATCAATTAGACCAATTTTCATGGTTATAAATCCAAATAATGACCTCACGTGTCCTCTTTAACAGATGGATAACGATTAATCCCAACTTAACAGTTTTATAGCCATAAAAGTTGGCTCAAGCGTAACTACCTATTTTTAGAAGAAGTGACTCTGGATCCTTCTAAAGACACATTTTTGGGGTAAAAACCTTTCCTTTAATGAAATTAATTAAGTTTAGAACTAGGCTTTCAAATGGTACCAATGTTGGTGGGAAGTGAGGATGCATACTTTTGAAAAGTGCTTGTTGCGGGAGGTGCGATTTATTTGATGCCGAGTGTATTATCATTTATCTTGTATCCAATGATAGAGAGTTGATAACTTTGTTTTGATTTTGTTTGTTAACGAGCTGACGGTGTAACGGTGTGGGAGAGGCTTAGTGGCTGGTGATGAAAAATGTGTAGTTTGTTATTTTAATTTTGTTTCTCTTTTTTATATCACTGCACCTACCTATGTACGCTGTATTACTGTGCAGAAGACTGGCACCGGCTGAAAACCAGCTGCATGGACCTAGTGCCGTACAGCTTACGCTGAGCCGGATGCCCTTGTCACCTTATTCTTAATAGTTAAGCTGTGTTAATGTGTTTTTTTTTGTTATGGTGACAATATAGGTTTATTTATCTCTCGACTCAGGTTCTAGGTTTTTTCACCGCGTGGGACACGATTACACGTTTTGTGTCCCTTTGTGTATTTATAGGATAGTTTAGATCCTATTGAACATACTGTTGTTGTGATAGAAGAATCGAAAACTCATCCTATGCACACTGCTTAACAAGAACTTATGAACTTCTAACGTCGGTTTGTGGATAAAAAACGTCCTAAATCATCCTACATTTTAGGACTGGTGACTGACTGACTGACATAGTGAGTGATCTATCAACGCACAGCCTAAACCACTGGACGGATCGGGCTGAAATTTAGCATGCAGGTTCGAAGCTCCACCAATAAGGGGGTAAAACGGGATCCACGCGTACGAAGTCGCGGGCGGCCGCTAGTGGTTTATAATTCTGAAAGTAGTTTTAAGCAGAATACAATCAAATTATTTTCCAGGTCCTGTAATAGCTCAATGCGTATTACTGTTAGTATATCTGGTAACCTCTCTTAATTTCCAGAGCTATCAGCAGTGCTATGGCAGCGGGTGCTAAAAATGGGCATGGCGCCTCTGGATTCCGAAGGCCAAATGCTTAGCATAGGCTTCTCGATACTGTACGGGATAAAGATGTTTGTGATCTGGGGCGTGTGGGCCTTCTTCACGCTGGCCATACTGGTGCTGATGGAGGGACTCTCGGCGTTCTTACACACGCTCAGGTTGCATTGGTGAGTGAAACCTAAGAATTTACTGTTTGCTGCCTGGATCAGTGTCCAAAAATGCTTTGAAGATGTTCGCAATTGTCAGAATTTTGGGGTTCTCCACACTATTACTACTGTAGTGATCGAGAGTTACGCCCGTATTCACAAACTTTACTATGAGGTCTCACAGTGCGCGTGGACGCACAGGATGATATACGAACCAATCACAGAGCTCTATTCAACGCTGTGCGTTCGATTTGCTGCTTCACTTACGCAAGCATCGTTTGTGAATACGGGCGTTAGTATTCTTCCATACAATCTGGTTTTTACGTTCACTGCCCTTCAAAGCTATACCTCGAAACTACTCAACCTTACTGGATGGGTTTCACTGGAGGTAAAACTGTATACAGAAGTTGCAATCGTGGTAAGATTATTATGTCCCATTTTACCCCTGTATTTCCGTTGTCCCCATGATTTCAACTTTCAACACCAGAAAGATAGATCTTTTTTTTATGCAAGACAAGGCAGGTATTTGACCGCAATCGCACCTGATGTTAAGTGAGATGCAGTCCAGGATGGTACATATCTGCCCTGTAAGTGCCTATTCACTCTCGCCTTGAAAAGGCCCGGATTATAATGATCAGGAAAGACAGATCTGGTGATCTACGTTTTCTTCTAAAATGTAATTGATAAGAACATAAGTAGATAACGTTAGTAAGTTACACTAAGTTACAGCGGTCTTTCGGTCCTACAGCTTGTCTTTCGTATTTCCAGGGTGGAGTTCATGAGCAAATTCTACGAGGGTCACGGTTACGCCTTCCTGCCGTTCTCCTTCTCAGCGATGCTGGAGCATGACGAAGACGAGAAACCCTCGGAAACCAACGGAGGCCCGCCGGAGTGACGCGGCTCTCCACGATATATCTCTAGCAATAATTAAACCAGTATCATCGAGTAAATTTTCCAAATTAGTTAAGATTAAGTTTGGCCAGTATGACAGAGGAATAATGGGGTCATCTGCAGAAAGAGATTGTGGCATTCAGGTAACCTATAAAAGGTACCTAACTAACGAATCTTTGCGAGTTTACACTGAAGGGCAAAATGAATCTGTAACAGAAGCAATCTCTTCAAAGGAACGCAAAATATGTAGTGATTTGAAAGATTTCATTTATTTTAAAATCACTGAAAAATTTTAATGATCATGGTTAAAGGTCAACCCTCCACTTGCGGTACTCGCCAATTGGTAGATGAAAAAAATATTTTAAGACAAACGTATTTTTCTATTCAAGAAATAAAAGTCAAAATAGGCAAACTGGTAGAGTTGGAAGTAAGTATACCTATGAGATGACCCCTAAGAAACTGTAAGTAATCGATAGTGTGCTGTTGAATTTAGAGCAAGTGTTTGTATTTTGAAATTATCGTTAGTACGAGTACATATTGTAATTTTAGCATTGTGTTCAATGAGCGACATGATATTATAGGGTTACATCTAATGACGCACGCCTGATAGAAAAATACAAGTGATCATATCAATGAATAGTTATATTTTTGTGCAATTTTAATATGTAATTTACAAGAATTTAATAGTGCCTTTATCAAATCAAGTGCTTTTCGTCACATTGTGTGGGACTCCGAGTAATCCATGTAGCAGGTAGCTTTCCCCAAAACCTCAGGCGAATCATATTCTAAAGCCAGAACGCACAGATGAAAAATAAATAGGTATAGCTAAACCTAACGATGCAAAAACGAAATAGCCACACCTGTAGGCCTAAGATGCGCGCCGTGATAACTTTTATCGACGTCAAAATGTATGGGCAAAATCGATAAAATGGCGTGATAACCGCTTATCGCGCATCTTTGGCCTACTGGACCCAGCCAGGTAAGACCACTAATGCTGAGTTCACACGACTGTACAACACTTCAAAAAAACTCTTCTTAATTATTCAGTTATTTTTTTCCGTAAACTCGTCGTCGTTGAAAGGCGTAGTTTTTACGTAAACATGTGAATAAAACTGTATACCTAAATCAACATTACGCACAAAATATGGCCTACTTTTTGTGATATTTCATATTTTGATGCACTCGTTTTTAATATCGAGTCAAATATAAAAATATCCATTGATAAAAATCGTTTACGATTTAACAGATTCTTTGCATCTGAAATCAAGCCGAACCACAAGCAAAGAACTTCCTTCATGTACAGTATCGTGTGAGCTCAGCTTAATCTGTATGATTTTTTGTGAACGTCAGAATGGCGGGTGTATGGTNTTCATTTGTTACCCATTAAGACTATCCTAAATTTTCGACTTCGACGGAGTTGTGCTTAAGTGGTGGGGGCCCCCGAAAGGGGCGTTTTTTCGGTTTTACGGTTATATCTCGTAAATAACTTACCCAATCAAAAACTGGTCTTCATGACGGTTGAAGGGCATTTAATAAGACTAAATTCATATGTTTTGGACAAACCGTTCTCGTGCTTATCTTCGAAAAAGTACAAAATTACGTATAATTAATGATCCTCTCCACGTCCAATGGCTCGATACCCGCAGGATTCCAAGTTTTGAAAAGGCCGCCTCAACCAGTGTAACCCTGTCAAGGCTTACGAGCTGGATGCGCCTATCCTTGTTCGTCCCAGCCATTCGATACCGTTGCCTAATCGATGCCTGGTAACACAGAGTTGTTCAGGAGAGTGCAAGGAAGAGGTGCAGTAACCGCAGTTAAGGAATGGCTGGGACGAACAAGGATAGGTACATCCAGCTCTTAGGCCTTGATTCGGCCCTTTACAAGGCTTGGGAGCCTGCGAGTGACGAGCCATTGGACGTAGAGAGGTTCATTAATTATACGTACATTTTGTACTTTTTTGAAGATAAGCACGAGAACGATTTGTCCAAAACATATGAATTTAGTCTTATTCAATGCAGGATTAAATGCCCTTCAACCGTCATGAAGACCAGTTTTTGATAGGGTAAGTCCTTTACGCGATATAACCGTAAAACCGAAAAAACGCCCCTTTCGGGGGCCCCACCACTTAAGCACAACTCCGTCGAAGTCGAAAAAGACAATGCCGGAAATTGGCGTTTTTTTTTCTCTATTTTGTTGCAATTTCTTACAAAACTTGCGCGCAAAAAGCAAATCTAGTATGTAAATCATCAAACTTCTAACGCTCGTAACTCAGTTCAGACTGAGTTTAGAGGTATACATGTCATAGTAAGTTTGGTTTATTACACTATTTTGTAATCAAAAAACAAAGTTTGGTCGATGGCCGCGCGAAAAAAAAAAGACGCCACCTTCCATACAAATGTAGCCATTAAAACAATAAAATCTTTTGTAGGAATTATTTTCGATTTCAAATGTAATTCTATTGGCCTATTAGGCAGTTCGATTTTTTAAGTTGTTTATTTAATCAATATTGATTTCTATTATTTTCATTAAAACGTCATTAGCAGGTTAGTAACTAATAATAATGTCAGTGGTTAGTAACTAGTAGCAGGTTAGTAACTAATAACAATGTCAACCAACTGGTTGGTTACTTCATTCAATGATTAAACTTTTAACTAAGCTTTAAGTTTACTAAGGTACCTGCATGCCAAATTTCAAGCGTCTAACTTAAGCGGTTTAGATTTTTCATACAAAAGGATTTTCCCGCTAATTCCCGTGCCCGTTGGAATTTCGGGTATTCCGTTCTTAATGCACCTCTACGGTACCTAAGCTACGTCCCTTCCAAATTTCAAGTGCTAAATTTGTAAACTATGAAGGGATATGTTTAATCATTAGTATAACATTAATAGCAGGGTTACCATCTGAAATCGCCTATTATTGGCTATTTATGGCTAATAACTGCTTTTAATCCGTTACTAGCCAATTGCTATTAATCGGATTATTAGCACTTACCCATCTCTAGCCTCAAGATTCTAGATCAGGGTTTCCCAAACTATGGGTCGCGACCCAGTGGTGGGTCGCGAGCGAACATTGAGTGGGCCCTGTCTGTGGAACGACATACCACCCTACCAATCCAACCGCTTGGGTAGCGGGCGAAATTTCCTGTAGGTGGGTCCCGAGTTTGGGAACTTGTATTAGATGAGTCGTAGTAACCCAGACAACTTTGGGAACCAATGTTCTAGATAGTTAAATTTCAATATTTAGCCACTGGGCCAGGAACAATGATTGAAATTAAATCAAGTTTTGAGCGTTGTTTTCTAATACGGACCTAAAAATTGAACATTCATGTGTTGTATTTCAGAATCATATTATTACATTTACTTAATGGTGAGAACAACACCACACTGAGTCCTTGGACATGACTTGGATTATTTATTGACTTGAGTTATATCTTATATCTAAACACAGCCGCTGATTGTTGTATCAACATCGACATGCTATCGGTATCATATCAGTGACGATTGGTAATTGGTGTATTCGTATAAACTTCCCCGAATTGTATAAGCTGTAATTATTTAAACCGGATAATGTTAGTCAGAAATATTGATGATGTAAATACAATGATTAATAATTAAGATGTTACGAAAGTTTTAATATTAATAACAGATTAAAGTGTATGATTAGACGAACTGAAAGTCTTTGCAGATAAATCTTCAGGCGTACTCATGCATAATCAAGCAAAGTGTAACAAACCCAAGTCATAAAATTACTAGATTTTTTTAAAGACTACTACGAGTATAGTGAGCAATTAGAGGTAAGTATCATAAAGTAATTAAGACAACACTTAGTTCTAAGCAATTTTAGTTATAGTAATTCCATGTATGCGTGTTTGTCTTGTTGGTTGTCCTAATAAATAAAATAAAAATAAAAGTATGTATTAAAGATAACGATCAGATACATGCAATAGTAGAGGCCTATGTCCAGCAATGGACTGAGGTGGCTGATGATCATAATTATGAGTTTTGTAAAACAATATGGCAATCGCAACACTAATCAACACAATTAATAAGGCAGGTTGATGATCTCATGGTGACTAACCCTTTAATAGAGCAAATAAAATAGCAATAAAAGCAACAAATTAAGATCATAATATTTATTGAAGCACGAACAGCAATATCAAACAATACTCGCGAATGCAGACAATCGATATCGACAGATAAGACGTCCTTATCAATGATAACAGCGCTATGACTCAAAACTCCAATCGCAAACAAATTAAATACTTACTTGTACAAAGCCACTTTAAGGGAAAGATTAATTTCGTTTGCCAACGCATTTGAAGTATAAATTCCGACACTTGAAGCGAACAATGCAACTGATAAGCGATGGATTAATCGTGTCAAGAATGTCATAGTAATAGTCTCTTTAATTATGAAATATTATAAATAGTATAGGTAGTATTATATTATCTGTGGTATAGCCATATAAATCCCATAAATCGGGTTATCCTTATCGAATAACAAATGACGGAAAATCAAAATTTCGAACACTCAAAATATCGAATTTACATTTAATCGAAAATGTTCAAAATATGGAATGATCAAAATATCGAAAATCAATAATAGAGGCTTTAATTTTTCATCTTAATGTCTGCTGAACGAAGCTATCGCGTCTGATTTTTTTCATGCATTACACACTTAACTTTAGTCTCTTCTGTAGATACGTGCGAAAAATGATTGCAAAAATTTATAATAAATTAGAAATTGATAAACAATTTGTTTTTATCGCAAGACTGTTGCAAAAATGATAGGCGTGTATGTTAATAAAGTAAATGAATATTTACATTACAGTTATGACGAGTGTTAGAAAATAGCAGTAATAATTCGTAACGCGTTTGTTCCACACAGCGTGCGCGTACGGCCTCGGAGAAATTACTCACGGCGCGCATTTTTTACGCGTTATTATTTTTACTATCGCATTATGCAGCGTCAACATGATTGTACTCGCATTATACAGCAAATTGTATTGTTCACATACCTACAATAAAAGTGCGATTAATGTAAAAACAATAATAAAATTGTGCTTTCCGCAACGTAATTATAAATAGTTTTTATAAAACATAATTGATTAATAAAAATATGACTGCTGTCAAAAAAATATACTTACGAGCAAAAGTATGGAATCACGCCGTTGTGTTTAGTTCCGAGCCATCTTAAGAACTGAATGATTATGTATGTATTTATTTATAGTATCAATTTAAAGTGTAAAACATTGCCTTTAAAATGGTACCATTTTTAATTATCTTCTATTAGTAATTTACTTCTTACGATCGCTCGGAACAAGTATGGTGATTCCATACTTTTGCTCGCGAGTGTATAATAAAGCTAGAGCAAAATAATAACTTTATTTTTATTATAAATCAATTCTTATAAAAGTAGTTAACCTATCTAGAGGAATAAGGTTTTTATTAAGTTAAGGCAGACATGCCATTTAAAGTACAGACTGCGCCATCTATTGACAACACAGGAAAACAAATTTCATAACAATTGTTTGTTGTGCAAAAAAATATCATTTAACTTCGTATTACTGGTACGGATACCTACATTTGATTTTAAATAAAATGTAACAACCGCATAATTATCTATTTTATTAAGCCGGATATCATACTGACGAAAACTGATAATTTATGACAATGTAAGTGATAAAATACATTTTATCGTAATGAAATCGTAAAAGAATGTCTTGTGTTATATTTGAGAATTTTTATAATTATTATTATAATATCTAACTTTAGTTATTTGTTCAGTAAAAATGGGGTGCAGTAACTTTATAATTAACTGTTTTTCTTGACATGGAAACTTTCATCGAACTGTAACTGTTCTCACATACTCGTAATTCAAAAATGCATTAAGCGCAATATCTTATTTAATTTGAATCATTCAAAAATAATAATTCACAAAGCTCAGGGGTTAAATGACCGCGAAGTGCAAACGAAATATTGCTTCATGTTTCTGTCAAATCATCGAGTTTAATTTGTTAGTGAAAACCTAAATAATTAAGTACAGCAAAATCGCAAAAACATGAGGCATAGACTTGTCGAATCACGATGTATACGAGT